AGTAGGGGGCATGCTGAAGGCAGCCAATCAATGATTCTCTCTCATCACTGATGTTTCTATCTCTCTCTCCCTCTCCCTTGCTGTCTGAAACCAATAAAAATATATTTAAAAAATAAAAAGTTGTATTCTATTATAGCTATGGGTGTATTTTTTAAAAAACTTTATTTCAAATCAGCTTTGCAGGGAACCCCTGGAATAGTATACTATTAAGGAAGAAGCTTGGGGACTTAACCACAGGAGCTTTGGAGTTGTTTATAAGTCTGGTGCCTAGAAATAGAAAGTTTTAAAACATTTTCAACTCTCTATAAAAGGCATTCATTTGATCAATAATTATTATTTAACATGTCTTACTATAAAAGAAAGCATGAACAAGTTAACCTTTAAGATATAAAGGAATTGGATGCAAGTTACCTGGGTGTACTTTCTTAATATTTTCTTCTATAAGTAGCTTTAGTGATTATACTTTCGATGCTTTGCCTATCTGCTTCAGTAACCTTCCTTCTTTCTCACCTTTCCTCCTCACCTCCCTCCCTCATTCCCTTTATTCCCCCCCCCTCTCTCTCTCAATGAAAATATCCTACTCCTATTTAGTTAACCATTCTATTAGAAAACAAAGCTATTGAAACTCATGTTCTCCACTGCTTACTTGGTAGCTTAAACTAATGTCAAACAAAGAAATAAGAGAATATATAAATAGTTTGAAGGCAAGTGTTGAATATGATGGTGTCAGGAATATGTACCTGCCAAGGACTTCCTCAATAAGACAATTTTACTATCTTGAAATAGTCAGTGTTCCTGGGTACAATCCTCAACCATCAGAGTGATTCAGGGATGCTAGTTAAAATGCAGTTTCTGGGACCTGCCAGTACCCAAAGAATCTGATTTAGGGAGTATAAACTGGGACTTTTGGTTTCACATAATTAATAAGCCCTTTGCAGGATGACCAGAGTGATTCATACCCCAGGGCGCTGAGCCAGATGGCCGGAGTTTGAGTCTTGCTTTTTCCACTCGCTCGCTGTGTGATTTGGGAAACTTACTTAATCTCCCTATACCTCAGTTTCCTCATATGTTAAGCAGCTATAATAATAGTGCTTGCTGGAGGAAACAAATAGCACAACACAGATAGTGTTTAGAAGCGTGGCTGGCACATAATTAACAACCTACAATGTTAACAATTGTGATTCTATTTTTAGCAATTAAAATGTTAGAACCCCAGAACATTTCCATCACCCCAAAGAGCTCCTTATGCCCCTTTGCTGGTAACATCACCCTGGCTCCGGGCAACTACCAATCTGCCCTTTATTAGTTTTTCTCTTTGTAAAGTTTTATATAAATGGAATCATGTGGTACATACCCTTTAGCGTCTGTTTTCCTCCCTCAGCATGTTTTTGAGATTCATCTATGTTGCTGTGTGTATTCGTAGTTCCTTCCTTCATATTGCTGAGTAGTATTTCATTACATGAATGTGCCATAATGTGTTCATCCACTCATCTGTTGCTGGACATTTGAGTTCTTTCCAATTTGGGGCTGTTATGAATATGTTATGAATAGTCCAAATAGCTTATTTGTTGGCAGACAGTGTTAGTTTTTCTATTAAAAAAAAAATATGAAGGCAAAGACCTAGGGTGTGCTCCTGTAAACATTCCCACGCCTTTCTTCCCTCTCAGGCATGCGTCTCCTTAAGGTCCCCACAGGACTTTCAACCAGGAGAGCAATGGGCGGAGGCAACTCCGCCCAGGCTAACCCCCTGAATCTGTCCCCAGAGCCCCCTTTTCTACGACCTTTCAGGGAGCCAAAAGCCACCCTATCTAGGCTCTCTTATTGCTTCTTCTGTCGTAAAAGCCTTTCCTTGCTTCACTGTCCCCAGCTTTTAATAAACACACTCTCAAAGTAACAATATAATCAACAACATATTGCTTCTTGGCCTTTTGGTTCAGATCGAGTATAATATCTGTTCTTACCAGTTTAACATCTAATAAGGTGTCTGTCTGAGGACAATATATTAAATGGCACTGGGAGCAGGGAGGTGGAATAGAGCTTGCTCCATCCACCCAGTATTGCTCTGGGAATGGTGCACACAAAAAGTAAACTCAGAGTCTGCCTTCATATGGCCAATTATTTTGGAATACCAAGACTCTTGTAAAAGCAGGGTGCAGTGAGGGACTAATTTAGAGAAGGAAAAGCAATATTAGAAACTAAGTGTGTTTTTGAACTAATTTAGAGAAGCGCTTAACCATAGCAATGGACTCTTGTTTACACACATCATATCATTGTATGGCTACACTGTTCTTTTTAAACTTGTCAATTTTTATTCATGTGAAATATCTTTAACTGGATCGAGAAAACATAGTTACCCTCAACAAATACTTTTGAACAAGTTTCCCACACTTTTGTTTTGTAGTATCCCATGAATGTTAACCCATTCATCTCAGGGACCTTTTATGTCCTTGTCTTCACTGGATGCTTTCTTTTCAATTTCTGGAAGTCAATGGAATTGTAAGTTACTTCTATGGTGAAGCATTTTAAAAGAATCATTAAAATGGATACCAGTTTGGTCTCTTTTTGAAGCACAATTTATGGAATGCTAGCGCTATGTAATGATATTAGGGACAAAGAAGTCAATATAATTATTACTTTAGGGCATAAAATAAAAATATGGGGATCTGCCATACTTTTAAATATAAAAAGCAATAAAATGCCCCAGTATCGCCACAGTCCAAGGATGCTATGTTTACCTGGATAAGGATGGCGTAGCTTCTTCAATCTAGATAAGCTGAGGATTTTCTAAATCACCAGACCCTGGTTCCTTTCTTCCTTAATAGTTATTCCTTCAGTTTCCCCTTCCTCTCACATTTTACAATAAGCTGCAAGAGGAAGTCAGGCAATGCCTTCAACACTTTGCTTAGAATCTTCTCTTCTAAATATGTAAATTCTTCATTTCTGCATATGGCAAACTACAATTCAACTAAGATCTGCCACTTTCCAATAACAGGATCTTCATTTCCATCTGTGTCCTCACCAGCAGCACTCTTAATCATCATATTACTACCAGCAGTCCCTTTATGGCACAGTAAGTATTCCCTGAGAAGACGCAGGTGTTCTTTTCCATGGCTTCTGATTCTCTACCAGGCTTTTGAGTCCTATCTTGCAGGGTGAACATCCATGTCCTTTCCAACAGTGCACACAAAGCCACTTAAGGTTTTTAAAAACCATGCTCCACAAAATTCTCCCAGCCATTGCCATTTCCCCATCCCGAAGCTACTGTCATATTTTTAGGTATTGGTTACATCAGCACCCCATTTCCCAGTTCCAAAATCTGTATTGACTTCCTATTGCTGCTATAACAAATAACCATAAACCTAATTACTTAAGACAACATACATGTATTATCCTACATGAAGGTCAGATGTTTGAAATGAGTCTTACTAGACTAAAATCAAAGTGTTGGCAGGGCTGTGCTCCTTTCTGGAGGCTCTTAGGGAGCATCGTTTTCCAGGCTGATCCAGCTTCTCCAGGTGCACACATCCCTTTGTAATAACTCCCTTCCATCTTCAAAGCTGGCAATTACAGGTGAACTCCTTTTGACATTGCACCTCTCTAACTCTGACTCTGACTCTCTTGCTTCCATCTTTCCTTTAGAGCAGTGGTTCTCAACCTTTCTAATGCCGTGACCCTTTAATACAGTTTCTCTTGTTGTATTATTCTCGTTGCTACTTCATAACTGTAAAGTTGCTACTGTTAATGCATCATAATGTAAATAACTGTGTTTTCCGATGGTCTTAAGCTCTACAGCAGCGGTTCTCAACCTGTGAGTTGTGACTCACAGGTTGAGAACCGCTAGCAGGGTTGCCTATCTCCCTATACTTGTAAATTTTACTTTGTATACATATATATATATATATATATAATCAACTGATACCAGTTCCTGTTTCTTGAATATCCATTTCATGCCTTCCCATCTCCATGCCTTTGCCCAGACTGAAAAAAATAAAGCAAAAACAAAAACAAACTATTATATATTTTTCCAAATATCACCAACCTTTTAAGGTTCAACTCTAAAGCTTCTTCTTTATGAAGTATTTCTCCTTCTGTGCTCTCATATCATTGAATTTATTTTTAAAATAGCATGAGATTTTGGTTCAATGATGTGCTAGTAGGTATTTCTTTTTCTACCTTTCGATCTTAAATTCTAAGTACCCTGAAGAGAAAAGCTTTACTGACCCGAGATTACCATAGGTGGATGGGCTGGGAGTTGAGGAAAAGCAGGTTTCAGAGGTGGCAAAGTTTATTTAAATGTGTTTTTTTTTTAATATTTAAATGTCCTTTTTTTCTTTACTTATTCTGACTGATACTTGATATGAGAAGATGATAGGCAAAAAATAGGAGAAAATTTGCAAATGTGAAAAGTCTAAAATGAGATCGGATTGTGTGGTAAGTTTGGGGACAAATATAAGAATTGGAGATAACCACGAACAATTTGTCTTAGAGTTCCTGAGTTTGCAGAAAGATCACATAATCATGATTAATTGTGAATTCACAATGAAACCACATGAGATTTTTTTTTTTTTTTAAGTCAGAAAGATGACCTCAAATACTATATCAGAACTTAATTTTCTGTGCTGGAATACACACCACACGTGCAGCCTTCTCCTTTCCCACCACCACCACCAAATAGAACTATATATATGAAACCAAGCAGAATCAGGACCTTACTGGACAGATGTAAATATCTGCAACCACTGAACTGCGCTGACAAGAGAAGATGGGCTTGAAACCTGGAAACCAGGACAAGAAAACCATCCCTGCGGACGTCAACTTCGCTGCAGAAATGTTGGAATGTTTAACTGTGGTAACCTCCAGTTTTTCTGGACCAGAGCGTAGTGGAGAAGATCTTTTATTTTTTTTAAGTAGGCCAAATTTTTCTTGAGTCCCCTCCTTCCCTTTTTCTTTCTCTTCTTTTTGTCCCTTCCCCTGGCCTTTGTCTCCACAGAGTAGCTGTTGGGATGGCCATTGGGTAGCTGCAGGGTCCAGGAGTCAGTTCCCCAGCCCTAGTCTGGTTGTAGTGGGTGGGACTTCAGAGGTGGTTTTCCACAAGCAGTTGTCTATGCTGATCTCCTACATGATCCCGAGCTAGACTGGAGGCCAGGAGCAGGCAGCAGCCTGGGAGCCGCCCCCAGCGACCTCCACCTGCGCGCAGAGGGAGCATCGCCCGCCCGCAGCACAGCCCAAGGACCCCGAGTGACCTCGCCATGGTGCGTTTTAGCCGCTACTTTCTTTTTCAGCTTTTCCCTGCAGAGAAGGGGAGGGGTTCCGAACACAAGTCCAGGGCCGTGGGGAAAGGAACTGCCGGGGATCTTTTGGGATCATCGCAGAGAAAGAGAGAGAGAAAGAGAGAGAGACACGAGATACAGGGAGAGACCGCTACCCTAACGCTTGAATGGGAAGCGGGTGCGAGAGGCAAGCGTCCCGCCCAGCCTGTTGAGCAGGGAGACAGGGGCCTGAGAGCTGTGGCCGCGGGTGCGGTGGGTGCACTCCCGCGGGGACCGGCAGGTGCCACCGGGGGTCCCCGCCCCCGCCCTGACACCCGCTCCCTCTCCACGTTGGCAGCGCGGGCTGGCCAGGCGCGCCCCGGAGCAGCGGGCGATCCATCCGGAAACGCAGCCCCGAGCTCCGCGAGGCCACCGAGTAAGTGGTCCCTGCGCGGGCTCCCCGGAGGGCCGGGTGCTGCTCCGGGGCCCCGGCCTGGGCTCGTCCTTCCCCCTCTTCCCCACCCGGGAAGCCTACTGGGTGCTCCCACCTGCCCAGTCCCGGGGGCGGGGGGCAGGGGCCGGTTCCCACGCTGGGAAGGAGCGAGGGGACAAAGGAGCTGCGCCCAGGAGCCCGGCTGAGGGCCCGGGGGACTTAGGGCGCCCGAAGGACCGGGACGGACTGGGAAGGGCCGGACGGGGCTGCGCCCGCGCCGCGGGGCCGTGGGAACCGGGAGCACCGGGCCGCCCTCTCCCACGGCCTGGGCGCTCAGCCTCCGGCCCCGCGGCGCCACGGCCTCGGGCGCCTGGGAGGGCGAGCTGGGAGGTCGGGCTGGGGCCTCCAAGGGACCGGGACCTGGAGCCTGGGCATAGCTGCAACTCCGTCCCGCGCGCTCCGCTCCGGCGTGGGGAGCCTTTCGCCCTCCCTGAGCCAGCGGCTACAATCCGAGGACTGCTCGTAGGAAACAGCCGCGAAACTTGCAGTGGGGCTGCTCCAGGGGCTCCACTGAAGAGTAAGTGTGTGTGTGTGTGTGTGTGTGTGTGTGTGTGTGTGTGTGTGTGTGTGTGCCTGTGTGCATGGTGTGTGCGCGCGCGCCCATGTGTTAATTACTGCATGGCAGTCTAATTTCTGTTGCCCTTGTGCCTGCCCCACCTGGGGAAACAGTGCCCCAGGGGTCACCACCGCCTCTGCCCCTCAGGAGGGCTGTGCCTGGAGCCTGTCATCCGTGAGCTGAGCAGCTGCCCTGTGACATGGGTGTCAGGGGCTAGGGAAGCAATGGGGTCATGTGGTTTCTTTCCGGGTTTGCATTCATGAATCTCCCCCCCCCCCCTCACTTGTTTTCACAATTAATCCTTCATTTTGCACTTGATAAGCAGTTAACATCTTCTGAAGTAAACCAGAAGGTTGTACATTTCATATATATGTATATAAATATAAATGAAACTACATATATTAAAGTAGAGCTTCATTTATAACATATCAATAGTGGTTTTTTTCAGGGTTAGTTCTCTGATGGTGATTTCATTAAATTCCCACCTACTTATTAGAACTAGCCTTGGTTAGAAAATAGTTAACCCTCTGGTTACATATATAAGATTTTGAAGCACTTGATGATAGATACAGATTTAATATCTTCGTTCATAAGATACAATTAGTCTGTTGCTTTTCCTAATATGGTTATATTTTTTTCCTTCAGCTGTGGTATTTCAGGTAGTATACTATGAAGAGTGGTCAGAACCATTGACAATGTAAAGACAATATGAATGTCTAAAATTCCAAAGCAAACCTTATTGGTCAAAAAGCTGTGTAACTTGACTGCTTTTCCGAGGAGGTTGCTTGTGTGGTCTGTGTTCCATTCAGTTACCAAACAGCTCGTTCTGAGGCTGTGCTTCCAGGAGCCCTGACGTCGGTACCTGAAATTGCATTCACACATCTGAGTTGCTGCATTTTTAGGGAAATATTTCATAGCCCTTCGATAGCCAGAGGTCTGTGACTCCATAGAAAAACAAGAACCATAAAGTTAAAACTTATAAGGTACACTTTTCCTTGTCAAAACAATAGGCTTCCTACATAAAGCCTTCTGGCAGAAGAGCAGGAAAAATTCTAGAATAAATAGAATTACAATAATGAGACATGTCATTGAAAATAGATCCACCTGTATGATTTTAAATGTGTCAGATAGGAAACTTAGGTAGGTGCAATTTATTTAGTAGAAACTTAAAATGAATAAATGGGTATCTTCTGATTCTTCTTGTAAGATCTCTTTCTAATCTGGTGTATAACATAGAAATACAATTATATTTCTCTCTTTGAAACCCAACAAAAGTATAAAGTACTTACGCTTGCTATGGTGTTTCATAGGGTATAAATACAAAGAGCCTCTTATAGGCCCTGCTTCTAGATGTCCAGGGAGAAAATGACTGGTCTAAGACAAATGTCATTCACAGAAGGCGGAAGGAAATGTAAAGATATTTTACTTATACCTGGCAATACCACAGGAAAAAGAAATGTGGAAAACTTCCAATGCTTAGTATTAATATTTCTTATGACTATGGCTTATTAAATAATCTTGCTTTAAGGGGTTATTTTGAAACCTGTTTTAGTTAACATTACCTTGTGCTAAAAACTAAAAAAAAGCAATAACTAAAATTAATTTACATTATAACTATGCCAATAAAATATTATATGACTAAAGGTCAACAGTTTTGTCATAGAATTTTCAGGCAAAAAAAAATCTTTATTTAGCATTGCTTTTTTGATTTTGTCTGAAACTATACAAGAATTAAATTCTATATTTACACTTGTAGGCTGCATTCCCCAACAATTAAAGTGAGTATAGGGAGGAGAATACTGACATTTTTACAAGCTAATTTTAAACAACAGCTATACCCACAACATTTCTATTTAAACTTTTTCTAAAATAGATAAAAAATCAAATTAGCCTTAAGAAGTTATCTCTCCAGGAAAAGAGAAATGAAGATTTAAAGCAATATTTGAAAATTCCAAGCCAAAAAGTATGTTACTAATGGGATAAAATTTTGGAGGAAATTATTTATTCATAATATTTTCTGTATGTCAGATTTCCCAGAAAGTTTCTATGCTTTTCTTTTATCTGCTAGGATATATAACTTGTATAGTACTGATTTTTCTATCACTTAAATTATAAATATTTACCCAAACAACTTCTTTAAACATTACTATTTATTAACTTTCTGCATAGTTGTAGAAATGGATAATTTTAATTCTAAATTATCAATAATGTCAATGCTTATTAGTCTCTAGACCATCTAGATTTATTCAGTAAGTATTGATTAGGTGCCTGTCCAATAGCTTTGTTTTGGATATCTTCATTTTGACTTGATGGAAGAAGAGGTTTTGGCAATTTTTAGGTCTTTAGATGAACACATTTAGTTGCCCATAGAGTAGTTGACTTAGTTTGGCTTGGATTGATTTTTTGGCTACTCTGAATCACATTTGCTTCTGTTTCTCTCAAACAGTTTATAAGTATCTGATGGAAGTCTCTGACCTGTTCCATATTTTTTTCTCTCTCTCTCCCTCTCCTGGTTTCAGGCCAATAGGTTTGATCTTCCTATGGATAGAATTATTTGCAAGGAGTGAAGAGCTGTAGACTACATTATAAAACTCTGGGGTCTCTGGGTCATGGCGCACCCGCCATCCGCGCCCCCCCCCCCGCCCCACCCCCCAGCCCTTACCATAAATGTGTGATTTATGTGATTCTTAGTACTCGTAATTACTAACTTCACCAACCTGGAATGCTTTCTGTCCATTAATAATCTTTTATTAAAATGAACCATCTCTTTTAGAAAATCAAAGGCAATTCAAATTAATTAGCTTACACACCACCTCTTTCTTCTCACCACAGTAGGAATTAGCAAGAGGCCAACAGAAGACAATGGCCTGGGGAGTGGACACCTGGGGAGAGAAGGTTGGGTAGATCAAGGAAAGCATCTTAATCCTGAAATTATTTCCAGGTCTGACCTAACCTGCATATTCCCTTTCGCTATGCTGCGTTGCATTAAAAATACTTATTTAAGTGTCTGTATCTTACTAACCCCAGTATCCCTCAATATATTCATCATTAGCCTCAGTGCCTGACACATAGGAAGTGTCTAATAAGTGTAATTGTGTGATTCTTGTAATTATTAAATTAAGTTGTTTTGTTTTATATGCCTTGATCCTATAGGTTGGTCTGTTTAAGAATGCAAGTTAAAGAATGATGTTCGTTTTGCAATGACCTTACAAGGAATATTATGGTTTTCTCTCAGAGATGCCTTGCAGCCTATTCAGAACTGCTTGTAAACTGTATTTCTCTCACCATTGCCCCATTACCCATTGTCTTTCTAAGTTTACAGCCTTCATTAATGTTATCTATCCTGTCCCCATTAGCAATGCTTAATGGCCTGAGCATTCCACTTTCCTCAGGAATCTGAAACAATGGAGGTTTTTCTTCCTTCACTTTAGTCAGCTGGAATTTTTCAGGACTTCATTGAACATCTGTGTGTTTGGCTCTCACAGGACCTTAACCTGCTGCCCTTCCCTTCAGAAATCCACTGGTATTCACCCACCTAGGCCTTCATGTCACTCAGAATGACCACAGCTGAAAAAGCTGAGAATTTTATATTCTCCTTCTGACCACAATTGCCTATCCGTCCAATAATTCCACTCCCTCGCCGTTACCTGACACCAGCCTCTTCCATTATTTTTCTTTGGCTACCCTTAATCTTCTCATATTTCTCTTTTTACTTATCACAGTGGTCTCAGCAATGTCAACTCTGCTCCAACCCTCAAATCGCCAGCCCCTAGACCTGATTCACTCTAATCTGATTAAGTTAAAGGGATGGTTAACAGCCCTTGGAATTTGATTCTTTCTTAGATAATTTCATATGAAAATCTCTATAGTACATGTTCCAGATTTTTCCAGGTTTTAAAGTCCACTCAAATTATCCTTACTCTTTTCTTTCTTAGCAGATAAAGTTATTTCTGAATTCATAGAAAATATGAAGATTAATGTAGGCAAACTATCACGATTGATCTTCAATGTATTGTAGGAGGCATGTCTCTATTTCTTCTGCTCTTAGCCTAAGAACCCCTTTCTTACATTGAACTATACTATTTGTCTCTATCAATTTATATCCCAATGTTTACCTCATAGAATACCCATACAAAATGCTTTCATAGGTGACAACTCTTCTAGTCCCTTGGGTAGTATTCAGTTCCTTCAACTCATCCTGAACTGGCAAGGTTTGAGAGTCTCATTCGTCCTTTACACTCATACTGCACTATGTAATTATGCATTTTTTCTGCTTCTTCTTGTGCAAATGTACTTCTCCACAATTGCACACTTGGCCACTGGATTTGGGATTTTTAAAAATACTGCAATTAAATTTAACCTTTACCTTTAGTCAGTCCATTGTTTT